CACAGAATGAATACGCCGCGGACGGTGTCGAGCTCTTCACGGCGTGACTACGCCACGGACGGTGCCGAGCTCGTCAAGGCATGTCTACGCCACGGACGGTGCCGAGCTCGTCAAGGCATGACTACGCCACGGACGGTGCCGAGCTCGTCAAGGCATGTCTACGCCACGGACGGTGCTGAGCCCGTCAAGGCGTGATTACGCCGCGAATGATGCTGAACTCGTCACAGCGTGACTCGTCACGAACTCGCCACGTCACTCGTCGCGCGCGCGACCGGACGAGCGAGTCCGATGAATCCGGCCGGCGACGCCGGACCGGCGACTCCGACCGCCGTCCCCTGACGCGGCGAGCTGATAAATTATCAGCGCCGTCGACGCCGACGACGTCCTTTGTCCAGTGGCGACAGTTCATTGGGCGTCGCGGTAGCACGGTAAGAACAGTCGCCACGGCTGATGAGACGGTGCGCTGGCGGCGACTCCGATCGGCCACCCGCGGAGGACGCCGGAGGGTCGTTTGCTCGGGTGCGGCGCGAAGTGGGCGTGGGTTTTGTATGTGGCAGGGGTAGGGGAGTGACCACCTGTGTGTACAGCAGTGGGCGTGGTCGAGGAGCGGTCTCCTTGACGAGTGAATAAGTGGCAAGGAGCATCAGCTTTCTCTTTGAAATGGCCCTGCCTTGTCAGATTCACAGTGCGAATGCGCCTTTCTCGACAGGGTGGCAGTGTGTGAGGGAAGCAGCCTCTCTGCTGAGCCAGTCGGGGACTCACTGTTGGAGCAGTGTTGCTGCAGTCCACACTGGGCGCAGCGCGAGGGCGCGGAGGGGCCGCAGGCGCAGCCGCCGTCCGCCGAGCAGCACGCGCAGGTTAGCTGACCCCGGCCGAACGGACAGGGACAGCCACTGTCCCTCAGAGTCCAGAGGTCGATCTGATCTGCGCCACAGGGACAGCCGCGACGGTGACAGGGACCACCGTGACAGCAGCAGGGACCACCGTGACAGTGACAGGGACAGCTGTGACAGTGGCAGGGGCCACCGTGACAGCAGCAGGGACCACCGTGACAGCGACAGGGACAGCCGGGACAACGACAGCGACAGCCGTGACGCTGTCAGAAGACAGAAGCAAACTGGACAGTGACAGAGAAAATAGCAACAATAACGGAGCCACTCTGGCAACCGCCAGTGATAACTGACACCGACAGCGATAACCGTGAGAGCGACAGCGACGGCCATCACATCGACAAGGACATCTTACGTAACGTACCGACAGGGACAACGGTAGCACACACAGGTACGGTCGTGGCAGCAAACGGGAGACCCTTGACATCGACGAAGGCGATTGTGACAGGGGTTGGATCGTCATAACAGTGGCATGGACAACCGCGGGATCGGCGCAGACAATTACGATGACAACAGAGACAACCTAGACTGGCGTGTTGCAATAGAAGATGACGTCATCCGATGACGTGCCCAGTGACAACGTCTGAGATAACTGCACTGTGAGGATAGCAGCATTTCATGACGCGCAAAACAAAATGCCGAGCCAAACTGATGGAATCACCCCAAAAATCGCGAAATTCCACATCCATGGTCGCAGTATGACATTGAAGTGATGCATGCCGTGGACGTGTGCACTGGCTCTTACGATTTCTCCTGTTGGGAGTAACCTCAGCTTAATAGCAGCCGGTGGGTGGGAAGTCTGGCTGTGGCGACACAAAAATGCCAAAAAGATTATTTGTATAATCTTACGAGTGTGGAGCTTTGCTGCATTGGCCTAGTAGGAGCATGAGCAAATGGAGTAAGTCTATTATGTGCAGCTGCTAATGTATCATAATTAACCAGGCTCACGCTTTCATACCCAGGTCATTGACGAATAACACCCCCGGGAACTGAATTCCAGCAAAGTAGAAGCACTACAATGTAGTCCGTCCCGATGGCTCAGATAGTTAGAGCTTATGCTTTCGGATCCCCCACCCGTGGCAGGGTGGGTTGAGTCGTCCCAGGGGCTTTCCGTGTGTCCCTCCCTGCAGCCTGAGCAGCGGCTATGCCAAAGGTCAGGTGATGTCGACGGGCATGGCGAACCGTCCCGAGCCTTTGCGTTACGTTAGGCTTATACCGCAAGATTCTGCCGTTTGCCCGAAACTTCCACATCGAATTATGTGATCAGGGCTCATGTTGCAAGTGCCGCATAGCGTGGGCGCTAATCTCAAAAACTCTTCCCTTAAAAAGGTTTGGACTAAATATTCAAACAAAAGCATAAAATAGCTTAATCATTCTTCATGCGGCGCCCAAGCTGTTTTAATGAGGTTGAAACAGAGCGGCGCCAATTATTCAAAAGCATAAAAATACTGCCGTCGGTGCCTACTTACCAAGCAATGAGCCGTAATGCATATTATGCACGAGCGGTAGAAAAGCCTGACACTCAGAATGGTGCAAAATCCTTTCAACTAAATGTGTGAGGCAGCAAAGCCCATCCGACGATAATAAAGTTACAGCCAACTTGGTATGCATAACTTCCAGGAAATTATGCATTTGGTTCGCTGAAGCTGTGTGCTGCGTTGTCATCCGAGAGTTGGATGTAGAGAAGGCATCTCGCGCGGAGACGTACACACACCAAACTCAATGAGCACACAGATGTGTCTCTCAGGCGTGTCTCAGATAGTCAAAACGAGTGTTTGGACGACAGCGAAAACGGTTCGTCTGGGGAAACATCGCACCGAAACATTTTCAGAACAGCTGCTAACCATATATATATATATATATATATATATATATATATATTATATATTTATTGATTTATTGATTTATATATATTTATTACATATATATATATATATATATATATATATATATATATATATACATATGTTGCCAAGTCCGAGGCACCAAGCGAAACACGAGAGTCTTGATCTAGAGTAAAGAGAGAGGGATTGCGGCGGTATCGAGAATTCCCCTTGGGGCATTTCCCTTCACAAATTCTCTAGACTACTGGCCGTTTTCGTTGCCGTCAAGTTCCAGTTTAACTATTGAGATGCACGCTTCCCAGAGTCAAACACGCGACGGAACATCAAAGGCGCGCATGGGAGGGCAGTGACCAGTCGGAAATGAGCTGTCGCCTTCGTAGCCGCTGAGCAACAGCCAATCGCACGGTACGGTCGGGGTTGGCCACTGGAGAACCGTTAGAGCCAGCGGCGGCGGACGGCGGCCGGCGGGTGCCGCGGCGATGGCTCACGCTCCCACCACGTGACCCCGGGTCACCGGCCGGCGGGTGGGCTGCGCTGCCAAGCGGGCTGGGCTCACCCACAGCAAGAGTGATTACGTCAGTTACAGAGGCTGATGGAGTGAAACAGCCATGACCAAATGTCATTTTGTCGACTGCCAACTCCAGACACTGAAGTATGGTGGTGTGTCGTGTTTTCCTCGTCGGCAGCATGATAACAGGTCATGTTTGCAAAAATAAGACGAAATAAGCAGCGAGGTGGTGAGCACTTACTGAACGTCCGCGACGCAACGTGTAATTTAGAGGCCATACTTCGCATTGGAGTCGTAACACGGTTCTCATGTCAGGCAACCCGGGATATGATCAAGCCATAAAGACTGCCCAGGACGTCGTGGCGTTATTGGAGCTATTAGACGGGGTTCTTGGCAGGCAAAAGAATCCCGTCACGCCCGGTGGTGATAATCTTTGCCGTTATAAAGCGGCAACCGGGCAGTAATGTGCAGCAAGCTCACAGCCTGTGATTTCCATATCGGCCGTTTGAAGGGTGGCGCAAGAGATTTTGAGGTTAGGGGCAGACAAAATGGGCTCTCCTCACAAGGAGACCTCCTGGAAAATGTCCCTTGCAAGGGGAGGGGCAGTGAGGCATGCGTTCCGCCAATCGAACTGTCACATGTGAGCTCATGTCGAAACTTACAAAGTCCAGAACGGGGCCTTGTAATACGCATGTCAGCGATTACGAGCAAAATGCCACCCTACCCCAAAACCGTGACCTCCTGATGCATAAACGGCCCTCAATCCAGAACGGGATTATTCCAATCCACAGAGGATGCGTCCAAGTCCATCGAAGTACCTCACTATTACACAACAGAGCATCATGATCGGGAACAGCAGCCTTCTGATGCTTAAAAGGACGTCCTGGAAAAAACAGGGGTCTCCTGATGTAAAGAGGGTGCATTCCACAACAAGGGGCCTCCTAGCACATAACGGAGTCCCCAAAGCCAGCAGGGAGGTCTCATTTACTCAAAAAAGGCCTCCTGACCCAGTGCGTGGGCAACCTAATCCACAAAGACGAGCTCCTGATCCAGTAAACGGGCCTCTTGATGCGGGAAAGAGTCATCAGTCATTTTATGGGGCAAGCAAACATACTCCTGCCCTTCCCGCAGGCAACGGGACCATCTACACCTGCCCTCTTTGTGCACCCCGTCCCCCTCCTCCCCTCCTTTACCCCTGCCGCACTGTTCCTGGGTTTTTCTCACCAATAACGCCGCACATCTGCTTAAGAGCTGGCGATCGTCATGGCGACCCTCACTCAATTCGCTCGGTAAATTGATGATTTCCCACGGGTCTTCCACAGAGACTGCTGACTGACTGAATCACCTCCCATAAAACGTGACCTGACAGTGACCCCGACTGTCTCAACTCCAACGACAACTTATGCGCTAATCAGCATTCTGCAAAACAGCATTCTGTTCATCGTCCATGGTGATCAACAATGAATGACGTAATATAGAACAGCATTGAATCAATATAAAAGAAGCTGAGCCAATGTACTTGCAAGCACATAACACGGTTCCGTATAACAAAATCTGAAGAACCCAAAGTACTTCATTGAGGTGTTTAGCCTCTGGATAAGACACCAGCAATGGAAAAGGCATGCAATTTTGGGATTTTCTCCCTCTCTCGCCGCATGCCACGCCTCTCTCTCCCTCCCACACGACACGCCTTGTCGCATCGTTCAACGCCCAGGGCGCTAGCCGTTGACCGGAGGCTGCCAGGGCGGGAGGAAGCGCTCACTGTTGCTGGTAAGGGTAGATGGGAGTAGTCCAGGAGATGCTGCCCAGCACGCCCGCCACGATGGTCTCGCCGCGGCCAAAGTGGCGCGGGGGCGGAGTCAGCCGAGCCATGGCGCCTTCGGCGGCGCGGCCGCGACGCCGCGGAGGCTTGACCTGCAACAGGCGACACACTCACTCATGGGCGAACCGAGAGATTCGTGAAAACGCCACTGCGGATGGGGCCGACGGTGGCAGGGTCGCGAATTGGCTTCGTCTTTCGTCAGGCACGGTCGGCCCGCAGTGATGGGAGGCGGACCTGTTCTGTGTTCGCGGCTGTCTACTGCGCGATCTTTGTTCCAGTGTCAGATGATGTTCCTCGCCGCTGTCATGCCTGTGCGCGTCCTCGCATAGAATCGGAATCAACTCTATAAGTGACTCCGTAAGTGAGATGTCCCTATAAGCGAGTGGAATTTTCGGTAAACCAGATGACATCTATGCATTTTAAAATCTTGTTGAGCTGGCATTGGAGTTCAGTCGTCTACACTGGCTGGAGTTGTTGATAGGCTGAATCAACTAGAACTGCTAATAACATCCGGTGATATTTGACATTGGTGTTAAACAACTTCTGCTCTGATAGCCAACAGTCCCCCGCATAATGAGGAGCTTGGAAATATCATTCGAGACAAACTATGCGTAAGACCTAGTTAAGAATTTCACAGATCAGCATCCCAACCAAGAAATTCCGGTTCATCAAAACTAGCGCTTACGAACAACAACATCGCACGCATTCTTCGACAGCTGGGGAAAATTCGTGAAAAAGATAGCTAACTGCTGAAAAATTCGCATTCACAAATTGGAAATATATCACATTAGTCGTGACACCACATCAAAAGCATGCAAATTCAAAACAAAGAGTATTATTCGGTGTACACCAGCTGTC